AAGCGAACCCGCGCCCAAAGAGACTGCCAGTCACAGAGATGATCGTAGAGCCAGTCGTGGGAGCATTTTGAGGTGTCACGGTGCTGACAGGAACGTTCATGTACTGGAGAACTGAAGACATAGAGCCTACTAGGGATGACACTGTCAGAACAGATGCCGAGCCTGCTGCACCCACATATTTGCTAGAGTTCAGATCGATTTTGCCGTGGACTTCCGTTGTTGATACCCAGATGGTGTAATCTAGGTGCATGCCCGAAAGCTTCCCGACGGGTGTTGTGTCGACGCTTCCGAAGTTGAGCCCCGCCAAGGTCAACTGCCCGCACAGGACGCATTCAGTTCCGAAGATAATACAGCTGACTGAAGGGGCATCGAAAGTCAGAGACTCTGTGAGAGAAGCTTGTACGCTCTGCGATGTCACCACTAGCACCCTGGTGGATTGCAAACCCGTGCCGAATTTGCCCAGCACTGCAGTGTCAGATATCCACGAGGATACTTCACAGGAGCTTCCTCCTACTCTTGCAGTTGAGCTCAAGTCCGCGAGAAAGAAGTTGGATCCCGAGGTTGTGAAGTGCAAGTCCTGGAGGTCATCAAGTTTGGGGGCATTTGAGGAGGCTACGGAGGAGAAAGTTTGATAGTCGTACGTCAAGAACGAAGTCAGAGTCTCACAGCATGTTGAAGAATGCAAGAGCGTTATAGAGACATCCAGTTCTTGACCCCATCCACTGGAAGATTGACACTGAAGAGACGTATCACTGAACCAAATGCTTGCTTCACATACCGTGAAGCCAACTGCCACCCTCAAGCAGTAATCATATATCCCAAAGTTCAATCCCGTGATATCAATAGATACAGACCCAGTCGAAGCGAGATTTCTGACGTTGCCTATCTGAAAGGAAAGAAGATCGTAAGAGAAAACGTTCGAGAGCGTCGACGCTGCTTGTAGATTTGTGATCACAATCGATCTGCTTCCTTGTGCAAAGAGAATATCCCCAGCAGGAACATTGCAAAAGATGCTAGTTTGTGAGCTCCATTCTGTCGATAGGCATTCAGCTTTAGCGTCAGCAATTTGCAGGTCAGCCCGGGGCGAGAAGCTGTTGGAGCCGAAGTGAGAGCCAGATACCTCGATGACAACGCTGCTGACAAGGGGAGCATTCCCTGCAGAGGAGCTGATCTCTCCAGCGTCAAAGGTGAAAGCTTCCGACAAGCTCGAGACAAACGTCCCCTGAGTGATAAGCGCCTTCTGAGACCCCGACGTTCCAGAGATTGACATCACCACCAAGGAAGTCTCCGAGACCCATTCCGTACTTTCACATGCTGTCATGCCCAGTCTTGACGACTGGCTGGGATCGTCACGAGTTGTCAAGGCGCCGGTGATGAGGATCAAGTTGTGACCTGTGGACGGGACATTCTGATAGTTCAATTCTGTAATACTCAACCCATCAAAACTCACCGAGCTGGACAAAGTTCCTTCGAACTGAAGGGCGACAGTTGCCCTGACTGCGAGCGATCGAACGTTGTCTATGATTGCTTTGGAGACAACTGTAGAATCGGAACCCCACTGGGTGGCCTCGCAGGAAGAGCCTCCCACACGCCCTTTCATGGAATAGTCTGCTGTTGCGAAGTTGGAACCTAACAAGGAAATCTCAAGTATCCAAGAGCCATAATTAGCAGCAGATACAGTTGAAGATTGTGGAGGATAATATGAAAAATAGTTGGCTAAAGGTTGGTCATATCCGAGGATCGTCAGTTGTACCTCCAAGTTCTTGCCCACCCCTGGAGGCAACAAAGCAAGAGCGCTTGTGTCCGAGACATAGAGAGTGGCTTCCGACGCCGAGTATCCAAAGTGCGAATCTGCTGGTCGTTCGATGATGTCGAAATTTGCGCCAACTATAGTCAAGTTGACACCTCCAGTGGTCGGGCCTGCATCAGGAGTGACGAATTCTGTCTTAGGAGCATCGTAGCAGAACGTGAAGGTTGGCCAGCAGTAACTATCCACACACGATGAGCAAGTTCCGTCGTAGCAATCCGAATCTGCTGAGCAGGAGACATTGCTGTTGTCCGAACAGACCAAGCCAGGGCCTGTGATAGTGCAGGGTGATCCGATTGCCAAGCAAGAACCGTTTCCATTCAGGTTGCAATTATCATCCGTGAAGCAAGGCAAACCATCATTCAACCCACCGAAACATGTGGAACATTTGCGATTGACCTTTGAATACTGCTGCCCGACCTCAACATCAAGTGCATGGCCGGCACCAATACCTCTTGGACTCAGGCAAACCAGACTTGTCTCTGACGAATAAAGGACAGTAGAACAACTGCTATCTCCTATTCTTGCAGTAACTGTGTAGTCCGCAGAACCAAATCCCGTTCCAATGATCGTCACATGCTGCAAACCAAGAATTGGACCGTTCTGCGGAAAGAAGGACTGCATTGTCGGTTCATCATAACTCAACGAATACGTAACGGTTGATTGTGATTGAACAATAGACACCAAAGCTTCCTGACTTTTTCTAATTCCACTTCCCGGCTTGACCTCGATAGCAGTGTCTGAGATCCAATCAGTAAACTCCGACACAGTCGATCCAGCTCTCGATGATGGAGTTGTACAAATAGTAGCAAAATTGATTCCGTGCATTGTACCCGTTAGGGTACCGTGTGTTGGAAAGTTTGTAACTACAAGTGAAGAAACCGACGGACCATCGTAAGAGCCCAACTTTGAGAATGTCGATATGAAAGTCTCCTGAGTTATGATCAGAAGCAGTGTCCTTCCAATACCCGGCGCATGTTTACATTCCAGGGAGGAAGTGTTCAACCAAACGGTGGATTCACAACCACTGTAGCCGAGTCGAAGCTTGGTGGTCAGCACCATAGCAGACTGTTGGTCAATGATGACGCTAGAACTATGCTCGTGAAGTGGGAGGTTACTTGCAACAAAGTTCGAGTACGACGGATGATCGAATGTGAATATCTCAGAAGTAGAACTCAACTTGACGCTTGTTGTCAAAGTGACACCACACGAGCGCCTCGTTCCTTTGCTTGGGTTACAGCTTAGAGAAGACAAAGAGATCCAAAGACTCTGTTCACAAGTGGTTTGTTGTATCTGTGCAGATGATGTAAAATATAATGTACTTGGGACTGCCATAGACAGAATTGTTTCAGATGGAGAATTGGTGTAAATTAGATTGGAAATTGCGTTAGCTGAGTATGAAATTGCTTCAGTAACAGTGCCGACAAGGTTAGCGCTGGTTATCGTCATTTTCATGCTGGAATGGTGGAAAGAATGTCCAGTACATGTCAAGGCTGTATCTGATATCCATGTGGTTGCTTCACACAACGTTTGCGATACAGCGCCTGAACTAGTGAATTGTATCGCTGAGAAATCTCCAAAGAAGGTGGATGTAAAGATTGCAAAGCTGGTATTCAATTGAACATTTCCATTAGATAAGCTCGAGATTGCAGGTGATTGATACGTCAAACCTTGCGTCAAAGTAACGACTCCAAGACTGCCCGTGAGCACGATATGCAAGCTGCCGCCCGCTCCGAATGAAGTCTTGCAAAGGATCGAATGGTCCGAGCTCCAATCTGACTGCTCACAACCAGTGAAACCACTACGCACTGCAGGTGAAAACCCGGCAGGGAGTGAATGGTTGAGCTGAGAAAGGAGAACGCTGAAATTCGACTGCATTGGAAAAACGTTGCCAGTCATCAAGCTCACGTGGAATACATCATAGGAAAACAATTCAGAGGAAGTTTGTGTCGCGTCACCGATGCTAACTCTGACAGTCAAAGAGGAACCTTTGCCTTGGGCAGCCCTCACGGTGATAGATGAAGTTGAATGCCAAGACGAGCTTTCGCAGGCAGTGTTGCCCAGAGATGAAGTGAATGTGTGAAGCGGTAAGTTCAAGGTCATCAACCTGAATACATACTCCTGTGTGTTTTGAGGATACAATGACGTGAATTCGAGCAAGTCGAAGGATGACGCTTCTGTCAAAGTTTCAACTTGAAGACTCTGCGTTATTACAACAGAGCGAGTCTTTTCGAACCTCGAATCTGCTCGGGCTTGAACGGAAGTCTCGGAAATCCAATCCGATGCGCTGCTTCCAGTGTTGGCTACTCTTGTGACAGGTGTGACTACACCAAACGATCCACGTGTAAAGAGGAAAGAGTTGTTTGAGGAAGATCCAAAGTTTGCTGAAGAGACAGCCAACAACACTGGTTTGTCGAAAGACAAGGCCTCCGATGTAGATGCAGCTGCTCCAAATGCTGTCAATACAAAAGGCTGTGTATGTTGACTTGTTCTGCAGTCCACCAATGCCTTTATCGCTGATGAATTCGACCAGTCAGTGCTCTCGGCACTGGTAAAACCGATCGAGAGACTGGCAGACAAAGCCCCAAGATCACTTGTGATTCTGTACTCCAAGACACCATGGCCTCCAACATTGCTGAGAGTAGAAACGAGATCTGATATTACGTCATAGGAGACGCTTTCAGTGAGAGTGCCGGTAGAGCCTGCGACTGTGACTGATACTTTCATGGAACGTGAGAACCCATACGAAGGCAGGGCATAAATGCTGGTCTCCGAAGCCCAAACCGTGCCTTCAGCAGCTGTAGCTGAGATCACAGCAGAAGTTGTTAGACCAAAACTTGTGTAGGAGAGTTGATTGACACCGATTAGTTCGAAATTGGTATGTGGGATGACATTTCTATCTGGAACAGAGCTGACAATGTACACGTCATAGGATGAAGCTTCTGTCAAGGTCGAACTGACCGCTGCAGCTGTAAGAATCATCGTCAGGCTGCTCCCAGATCCAGAGCTTGTTTTACAAGTTGAGCTGCTCTCTGAGGCCCAGGTCGTGGCTTCACAAGCGGTATGGCTGATTGCAGCAGAAACGCTTAAATCACTAGGAAAGAAAGAGATATTCAAGATTGCGTATGTGTCTCTGTATAGGTGATTGCTGTATGAATCAGATGCAATGACAACTGAATCATAAGAAAGGGAATCAGTTATCGTCCCTGCAGACTGAATGCTGGTCACGACCACTGACAATGTCTGCCTCGAAGTTGTTGCGAGTGGAGGCATACAAAGGATACTTGAAGTTGACTGCCATTCGGTACTTTGAGCCACTGTCTGACCCAGCCTCGTATTCAAGGTCAAGCGGGGAAAGTTTCCCAGAGATGGACGCAACAAAGTCAGCTGTGAGGCCTGATATTTGACAAGCAGGTTTGCGTTCTGAATGTCCGTCAGAGTAGTCATATCGAAACTGTACAATCGACTTGTCGAGCTGGTAGTCACGGCAGTAGTTAAGATCAATCCTCGACTGGCACTGGTACCTTGAGAGACAAGCGCACATAAAGAAGTCAACGACGTCCATGATGTCATTTCTGCTCCAGTCCCACCTATCCTGGAGGCTTCAGACAAGCTTTGATATCCACTACCAATGGGGAACCAGATGAAGCTCTCAGTGCGATCATAGAAATTTTGGCGTGCGGGTATTAGGTCAGAGAGCTGTAAGCTGTACGATATGGACTCCGTGATCGATTGAATGACACCAGCGCTGGAAGATATTGAGACCGGGCGGGAAGAGATGAAGCCTGCACTAGTCTTGACCGTCAATGACGAGACTGAGTACCAATCAGTGCTTGGTGATACACTTTGCCCTAAGGATGTTCGCACAGTGCTTGACTGAAGCCAACCTGAATGACATGAAATATGAATCATCATACTGGAATTGGACGCTAAATTCGAAGGTTGGAATGCGGTGATCGAGTCCATTTCTATTGTGACCCCCTCAGTTACTGTGGATAAAAGATTGGACGCGGTCAAAACTACTTTCTGACTTCTTTCTGGGAGTTCTAACTGTTTGCATGAGATTGATACTGTGCTAGCCCAAAAAGTACTTTCACAAGAAGACATACCAATACGAAGAGCAGCAGAAAATTGGCGGACATCTGACATACTGAGGTTCAACAGGCTTGATCTGGAGCCAGGCTGAAGATTGATACTGAAACCGGATGAGATCTGAACAGCATCAAACGTCAATAACGATGTAATTGTGCCCATAGAAACACCCTGGGAGATCGTGAAATGAATGCTTCCCTGTAATCCATATCCAACCTTGCACGTAAGAGCATCAGGGGACGACCAGTCTGTGTATTCGGCCTCTGAAACTCCGATGGATGAGCGGCTGCTAATTCCGTAGCTCGGCAGCGTTACATTCGAAGCGAAGACAATGCAACCAGGGACGAACAAGTTGGTGGAATTCATTACGAATTGAGCCAAGAGATCATAGGAATACGCCGACGAGACGGATCCTAGATCAAGCGATTGAGTCACTGATATTCCAAGGGATGTGGAGAAGGAGCTTGAGTATTTCGTGTAAATCAGACTATCAGACAGCCACATAGTGCTCTCACATGCCGTTCTTCCAATTGAAGACTTCAAAGATAAGAACAAACTTTGAGTCGAATTGTTCAAAACCCTGAGAATGTGAACATTTTGAACAGAATTTGATCCTTCTACACCAGAGATGTAAGTGGAATCATACGATGCAGCGTGGGAAAGGGAAGCTGAAGATCCCGAAGACGTCAAAACTATGCCCAAGCTTCTTCCAGTCCCTCTTGCACACAAGGAGGATACTGCACTACTGCTAAACCATGCAGAGGCCTCAGAGGGCGTCCCGTATATGCTCGCACGAATAGTGTTGTCATATTTCGCCCGACTTGTGCCTGTTGTTTGCAGAAACACTTCACTTGGCAGAATATTTTGATAGTGAGACGAAGATAGTGACATTGGATCGTAGGATATGAGTGAGGTCGCAGTAGCGACACCAACAGCCGTCAAGACCACGCTAGAAGACTTCCGTATGGTGCTGTGTGAGACGCCGACGATAGAAGTTGTAGAAATCCACGTGGTAGATTCGGATGAGGAAGATCCGAGTCGTAAGAGGGAAGAATAAGGTCGTTGATTGAAGTCAACAAGAGTTGAAATGACAACAACGTCCTTCTGATTTGCGACAGCGTTCGTGCGACTTGATGAAATGAACAGAGTATCGATGGACAGCAATTCTGTTATGGTACTGATTTTGTGTTGGATCGTTATAAGCACGCTAGCGCTATGCGTCGGAGTCATGGTTGCTTTGCACTTTGCGCTTGTTTCTGACGACCACTCTGTAACTTGACAGCTCGTAAAGCTGATGCGTGCGGCAGCAGTTACGTACTGTGATAGAAAACCAACGCCTTGTAGTGTTATGGATATCGATCCCGTCTGAGCCAAGTTCTGCATGGTTGCACCTGAAATACTCGCGGAATTGAAGGTGAACATGTCAAGCTTAGTGCTGACTTTCGTTCCAGCCGTCACCACTACGGCAGTTTGAAACGTAGAAAGCTTTCCCTTGCTGATCAAGAGTGCGGTGTCTGATATCCAAGACGAAGATTCAGCTGGGGAATACCCGATCATGGAGAGAAATGTATGATCTGACAATCCGAAGCGAGAACCAAACACGCTTACAAGACTAGCCACCCCTACGTACATGTTTTGAGGACTTGACGATATCAGCGTCTGTGTGTCAAAGGTTACCAACTCTGTCCGGGATGTGGCGACACCTCCTGATGAAATCACAAAACTATGAGTGGATGAGAATCCACTAGCAAAACATCGGACTATGGTGTCGGATAGCCATTCCGTACTTTCACAGGAAGAAGAAGCAATCCTCCCGCTGCTTGTAGCGAACAGAAGAGCTAGGGTTGTGCTATTTTGAAATATTTGTGCAGTAGCTTTGTCTGCCAAATTCCATGAATAATTCTTGCTGTAGTACAAAGAACCCAACCCTGCGTAAAAATCGTTGTCAGAAATCAATAATGGCACACCAAACACATACCATCAAAGCTGAATGCTTCACTCTGACTTGACACGATGGAATAGGATGTTATCAGCATCGACAGAGTCTGACCATATCCTTCATGAAATCTACATGATATCGAGTACTCTGACCCCCACTGAGTGGAATCTGCTGCTGATCCACTCATCCTTGCAGACATTGTATCAGAAAGGAAGGAATAGTACTGAATTGCGATCATATTCTCTTTTGCAAGATTTTGAGCCGACGTGTTCTGAATACTCAACGAATCCATTGAGAATAATTTGGTGAGGGTTCCAACTTGATCGTACAGAGAAATTGCGACGCTTTTTGACGAAAATCCCACAACTTCATTAAGGCACACTATCGAACTTGAAGTGATCCAATACGTTCTCTCACAGGGAGTTCCAGAAATGCGAATGGATGAGGATAAAATTGTTTTGGTTGCATTCTGGACAAGTAGGATCATATCATTCTGATTTCGGGGAATGTTAGATACGTTTGACGGTGAGAATGAGATGTGGTCAAAGGAGAATGACTCTGTCATAGTTGATGTTAAACCATGACTGGTCAACCGGATTGATTGAGAAAGGTGTGATCCCAAACCGATGATACACGATACTTGTGAATTGGACGTCCATTCCGTCGATTCCATTCGTGAAAATTCAACATTAGACTGCAAGCTATTATCATAAATGCCATAATCTCCTGAAATTGTTGCCATGGCACCAATACCAATTGATGGTGCATTTTTTAGACTGATGTCTGATATCACAAAATCATCATAAGTGAAGAAACCAGAAACGCTGGCGACTTTAACCCCAGCTGTTGATACAATATCTTTAGTGCGGTAAATTCCAAATGGTGTCTTGCATCCTATAGAACTATCGGATTTCCAGGCAGACGATTCACATCTCGTCAAATGAATTCGTTGCTGTGACGTCACATCGTGCTTGACAAGACTGATGTCTATCAAGACGAAAAGTGGAGCTGAACTGTTGATAGAGAGTGATGTCAATGGGACGTGATTTGACTGGCTCAATCTGGTTATGGATAAGCTGTCATAAGACATCATTCGAGTTGTCGTCCCTACTTGCACTCCAGAAGTCACTTCCATTCGTCGAGTAAGACCCACACCAGACGCCCTTGTAGCCGACAAACTAGTTGCACTGGTCCACTGCGTTGATTCACAGCCCGAAACAGAAATTCTAGCTTTCAACGACTGGTCCAGCTGCCAGCCAGCACCAACAAACTCATAAGGAGGAGTTGAGAATTGCCCCACGTTGGTTGACTTTGAACTACCATAAAAGCTTGGCGTCTCATACTGCAGAGCTTCAGTCAAACTGCTTGATGATCTCACGACCGTCGCTGATAGCGATTTAGTGCTTCCTCCACCTGCTGCAAACTTCATTGAGAGAGTCGTGTCTGATACCCAACCAGAGTATGTCGACCCTGTCCCTCCAATTCTCTGGCGCGAGGAGGATACAAATGAGCCGAAATTTAAGCCAAGCACAAGGACGGAATTGGTGTAATAGGTGCACCATCCGCAGGTTCGGCAATAACTTTCAACATGAGGCACATGCAGGTATAATTCAGAGCATTTCAGCCCCGATGAAGCATATTGACCCTCTTGTAGATTATCACACATAGTGATGGGATAAGCAGTTGTTCCATCATAATTCAGTTTGTTGCATAATCGATACTGTGAGATGGAGGAATCGTAAAAAACTGCTAGACACGGACATACATTCGCTCCCACACACAGTGAAGGCAGTATGTCACAAATTCGCTCTGCTTCGTTCAGTGTATCATAAGTTCCTCCGGCTGTTCCTTGCTCACAAGAGCCCAAGAGCTGCACAAACTTGAGAGATCCTTCAGAAGGCAATCGTCCCGCATTGATGCTAGATATTACGTTCGAATCATACGAAACAATCTCTGTGCTGCCACCATAATTTCGAGATACCGAGACTGCTGTGGAGAGGCTGTGCGATAAGCCTCTTGGAACCTTACCTGTGATTGTTGAATCACTTGTCCAAATGGTTTCAGCACAGGAGCTTCCGGTATCTTGAGGAAATCCGATTCTTGACCGTGCTGTGTAACCTTCCAGCCCAAAGTTCTCACCGATAGAAACGAGTAATGCAGTTGGATTCAAACACGCGAAATTGAAAGCTGAATTCGCCAATACTGTCAAATTCATCGATTGGTTAAACCCAAAAGATGGACTCGAAAAAGAAAACGCATACGTAATGCTTCCTGCAACCTTCCCTACGGTCACACCAGATATGAGGTTCTTGCCGACACCATGCGCAGGTAAACTAGCCATCGAAGTTACTGAAATCCAGGAACTCTTCTCCGATGCAGAGGAACCAATCCTGCTTGAAATACTTGCATCAAAGGTTGGGGACAAGATTGCACCATATAGAATCGTTGGGATCAGCGACGTGGATGGTACATTGTTCGGCAGCAATCTTCTGAGGCTTGGACTGTCATAGGTGAAGAATTGAGAAACAGTCAAGCCTGGAGTTTGAAGTTGCGACTGCAAAGTCACGATAAGATCCATGTACAAGTTGTTGAAACCAGCTATGAACGTGGAGGGCAAAGAAGTGTCTGAAACCCATTGAGTGATCATGGCAGCAGACCCACCAGCTCTTGAAGCTGCCGTATAGTCTGCTTCACCAAAGTTCTGCCCGAAAAGAGTAATCCTTGAACCTCGCATTGGCAGGTTGGATAGAGCCACTCCGTATAAAGATGGGGCGTCGTATGAGAATGTCGCAAAGACTGTCGGCATGGAAACATGATCAAACAGCTTGACGGTGACGTTGTTGCAGCACCCCACTCCAGGACTTGAAAGCGCACGGATTAGAGAGGAAGAATACCATGTTACTCTTTCGCTAGCAGCGTCAATCAAGGTAGAACCAATGAAGACAGATACAGGACATACCGGTGCGGGTTGATCGCCCAGATTTGATCCGACAACGGTCAATAGAGTTCCACCACTTGTTGGACCATTCCATGGCACGGAGTATGCTACTTCTGGAAGATTGGCAAAATACTGAAAGGGGGCAGATTGGATGGGATATCCATGATAAAAATTATTTCCTGGTATAGTCTCAAAAACCGGAACGTCCGAATTCTGCCAACGTAACTTGAATACAGATCCGAATGGCTGAACCGCAGGGTCCGGTTTTTTCAGGTACTCCAGCTTAAAATCGAAATAGTTCACTGTGTCAAGATATAATGGAGCATTAAACGATGTCGCATCAAGGCTTTCCCACTGGTCCACAAGGAGTTTGTTGTTGATCCAAAGTCGCACTCTTTCATCACTTACGAGGACATTCACGTTTTCATAATTTATTTGCGATACTTCTCCAATGGAAAGCTGTACCTCGTATGTGCTTGGATAATCTGGCTTCAAGAATCCAGTCCATCGAACTGAGAAAGGGTTGTCGCCTACATAATTTAGGCCATCCAACTCGACGTTTCTTGGCAGACTACACTGGCAAGGTATTCCATTACATTGAATACATGCGGAGGAGAAGTCGATGTTGGGCTCAAGCAGTGAAGCTGCTGCTGTGCTCTCATTCAGGTTGTCACTAGCGTAGTAGGTCGCAGCAAGCTCAATGCCGTTCAATAAGGAAACGAAGATCCAATCTCCCGAGCTCTGGCCCACATATGACACTTCATAGTACCCAAAATTGGTCCAGGTAACAGACGAGTAGGTGGTTCGACTGGATTCTTGCTGATACTGGAAGTTTGGTGCATTAGTGAGTCGAACAAGCCATACAGCTTGGTCATCAGAGATTGTGTTCCCGTAGGCATCCCGAGCGATAATTGTGAAGCTGGTCTCAGAACAAACTCTTGACAAAGTCAGACCCAACCCAAACGCTTGACTGGTGGAAGCGCAAGGAAACTGCGAATTGCTCCGAATTGGAGCAGGAAAGCCCAGCAGGGTGTACGCTTGGAATAGATCAGTGGAAGGCACAATTCTGAACGGGTTTTGCAAGTATGACCATCGGAATTCAAATTTGGCACTGCCAGAAATTTGTCGATATTTGACCTCAATCGGCAAGAATGGAGTGATCGCCGATTTTGAAAGGACCGTTGCACTGGGACTCAAGGAATTAATGGACACCCATTGATCAATAATGATTGAGTTGTCCATCCAAACTTTGACTCTTTCGTCGGCTCCACCAACCAACGACTGGAAAGTGTAGACTGATACGTACTTCAACTGAATATACCCACTCCAGCGCACAGAGAACGATTGACTACTTGTCAAAGAAGGATTCAAGAAGTCGTTTTCAGAATTCAAAGCTAAGTATGGGTCAACGCTGCTCTTCTTTGGATTTCGCATCATGTAATTGTCATAATACGTCGCGATCAGTCCTCCACCTGTAACGAGCTGAACGTAGATAGAATGAGTCCCAGCCAAAGTGATTGCCGTGTAATTGACGAAATATTGTCCAGAACCTGAGTCCTTCACGTTTCCTCGAGTAATTTCTGGACCACAACAAGAATAAATTCGCACAGTATAAAAGTCACCTCCAGATGTTTTCTGATTGTAGAACGCGTCAACAGATTGTATGGTGAAGGAATTGATCAATCCTGCAGTCGATAACGATACATCATTTCCAAATGAGAAAGACTTAGATGCGCAAGTCGTGGCCGGCAAGACATTCACTCTCCAAGGTTGACCAATCAAATCAAGATTCCAACTGAAGAGTTGAGCTTGAAGGTAGGACCTCGGAGCTGTTTGAGACTCCCACATCAACGAAAGCAATTGCGGCCCTTCATAATGTTTGTATTCGATTCGAAGGGGATAGGATGAAAGCTGCTGAAAGGAAAGAGTGACTTGTTTCTGCAGAAGAATCTTGACCGCAAAGTTGCTGCCATCGGCGTATTCAGCATCCAAGCTTGTCCACTGGTCGATGATCATATGATGATCCAGCCAAACCCTCACTCGGTCACTTTTGGTTGCTCCCATGCATGCCCAGAATGTGTATTCATTAAGTTCCGTCGGAGTGATAAAACCAGTCCACCTCGCACTGTATGTGTAACTGTCAGTGAGGCTCAAACTATAGCCCCCTTCCGATAAAGGAGGAGGCTGAGTACCCTGAACAGAGCCAGGGACCACGCCTGGGTCAGATTGAATGAAAAGGCTCAAATACTTGTAAGACTCAATGGACTTGACCGCCAATGATGTTGAGAGATCGACATCGTCAAAGAAGGTAGCCTGCAGCCCATATGGTATTGAGAAGCTGGCATACAAAACCGAAGGTCCTGCCTTTGTGATTGACTTGAAGCTCACTACAAAAGAGTTTGCAGACGATGAGATGGATCCTTGTGAAACTAAGACATTCTCAGATGAAACATTCCATTGCGGGGAAACTTGACGGACAGAAAAAGAGCTAACGACGTCCTGATTGATTGAGGTCGGGTTCCCATACTCGTCTTGTGCTACAACGGTGAAGGTGCTCGAGAGCCCTGCACTGGCTAAGCTCAATCCATACCCATGCACCATTGATCGTTCGCTGCAAAATGTCGAAGGGGCCAGGAAAACAGCGATGGGAAGAGGTTGTCGCTGAACTAGGATAGATAATCGTGATGAGGGAACGACCTGCTGGAGGATCACGGCTATGTCTGAAGTCTCCCAAGCCATCTGAAGCCCTCGTCCACCAGTAGAATCTTTGTAATCAATCGTTATGGTGTAGAAATTCTGAGCTGGACATTCGAATTGATACGTTTGTGCAATATTGATCGAGTTTAAGCTTTCCCACTGATCTATCAACAGATTACCTTCCATCCAAAATCTGACGCGCTCGTCGGTCTCTTTGACCGAGAGAGTAAAAGTATACGCTTGAGGATATGCTGCTTGTATGTATCCCTGCCATCGAATGGACAAACTGCTTTTTCCTTCCGTAATGGAGCGGGGAACTCCAGGGTACAAATCGAATGTGCAATATGCATCCGCACAGGACGAACTCGAAAAGTCTATTGTGTCAGTTAGTATCGAATAAATTGGCACAGTCATGTCAGGGAAATCATAGAAAGTCGCGAATAGTCCAACATTTTCATAAGAACTTTCTTCAGAAAGGACTTCAGTGCGATACAGAAAAGTCGGATCTAGTTCCGTCCTGACAATGTATTTGGGACATAGACATCTGAATTGCACAGTGCATGAAAAATCGTTCAACTTCAAGTTGAGATATATCTTTCCTGTCGCAACTTCAACAAAACACCCTGAAGGTTTGGAAATGCTTTCGACTGTCTCAATACCAGGTGAAAGATATCCTAGTGAGGTGGCTATCTCCTGACATTCTTGCAGGTTGAGTGTAATTTCGTCACAAATTCCAGAATCATGCTGAAAGACGTCATAGTAAGTCCAATTCAAAAGAAAATATGCAGCTTGAGTGATTGCGTGTTGATAATCAACTCTGATTGCTTTGAGAGATTGTATAACTTGAAAATCATAGATTGGAATCGAAGTAGTGTTCCACTGTGAGTCTAGACTTGTCCATTGATCAATGAGGAGTTGATTATCTATCCACAACCTGATCCTGTCACTCTTACTTCCCAGGACTGCAAAGAAGCTATTGAATTGCCCCAAGGAAATCATTCCTGATAAGCGCAAAGACATTGGCTGAAATCTCCCCGACAGAAACTTGAAAGATTCATTTATGGCATTCAGTGGCTCCACCAGGAGGGGCTCTTGGAAATCCAACCCTGCATAGTACGTTGCCATCAAACCGTTTCCAACCACAAACGCAGCCTCGAGCTGATGAGTGCCAGAATCCGTACGGACATACGAGGCAACACGTTCGCCAAGGACGATGTCGAAGTCAACACTCATGGGAGTCCACGAACCGTTCGATTCGATGAAATATGCCACAAACAGATCGTCAGCATTCTGCTTCACGTTTTGAAATTCATCTCTAGACTCAATGAGAAACGTTGACAGAAAACCAACAGTACTGAGAGTCAGAAAGGTCCCGCGTAAATGGGAGAACGATGCGCAAACGATGGATGGTTCTACTGTAACCGAGAAAGGAAAAGGACTATTTGCAATAGAGACAGGGCTATGATATAAGATAGAAACAGGAATCTGACCCTCGAAGGATTCAGGATCATTCCATTCCAACTGGCAGAAGGAATTAGGTGAGCTACGATAGAATAGAACATCAATGCTGTAATACTTATTCCCCAAAAGTTTGATGCTGGATCTGGAAGGATTTTTGACGTAATCTAAGACAATTTGGCCGTTCAGTCTCAGGACAAGTCTTCCCTGGCAATTTGAGGAAAATGTGTAGGTGGAAGTTACCAAAATTTGTATGAAACCCATCCAACGGACAGAATTGACAGAGGAATAATTTCTATAAAGGTCATTCGAATCGAATAAAATTTGACTATCCACCTGAGTGAAAACAGGCTGCTGCATTGCAGTATCCTGGAAGTAAACGCCAAGTAATCCTGCGCTTCTCACAAGAGCAACATTCAGCTGGAATGATCCAGCTTTAGATGACATGATTCTGAATCTCTGGAGATCAGATTCGCTCAAGTCTAATTCACCCAAACTGGCACAGGAAAACAAGTTGGTGTACTGTCCTGATCGCTCCCGCCACAGTGGACCGTTTTCAGGCTGAACCTCACCATCGAACAGGGTGCTCACGAAAGTTGGATCTGGTATCAAATTTTGAAATTCATCGCGCATGATAATAGAATATGTAGCGTATACTCCAGCAGTGAGTGTTGTCACCCCAGAGACAATGCTCTGTGACGCACTTGCAATGCTTGGGAGCACGGTTATAGAATGGGGAAAGCCCTCAACTCTAGCGTTGGTATACAACAAGTATCGATCTTGATTGGAAGAGAATGTCAAACCGCTGGGAAACGTCTCATTTGCTCCCAGTTCAATTTGTGACAACTCAATCTTCAAGCTGTAAAACTTGCTTGATAATTCTCTGAAGTCGTACGTCCCGCTGCTCTCCCTCCCCCCGTCTAGACTGCTCCAGTGATCCAAGATCAGCTCGTTGTCTACCCACACCTTCACCCGCTCGCTCCCGCTCCCTACCCGCCCGTAGAAAGTGTACACCTCCCCTCCCTCCGGCCGCATGAAGCCTCCCCACCGTATGCTGAAGCCCGCGTAGTTGGATATGCTCGAGCCGGGGGGAGGGGAGCCAGGGGCTGCGGAGAAGTCCATGTCGGGGACGGGAGCAGACTTGACAGCGAAGGCGGGGTCAAGGTCGGGAGAGTCGTAGTAGGTGGCTTGTAAACCTCCAGATCTCACCAGATTCAAATCCAAAGTTGCGTTTAAAGCAGCCAGTGTTGTATTTGCTGTGATGTTGTAACTGCCAAACAGCTTTGTCCTCTCATAAAAACCGTACACAGATCTTGTACTCTCAGTATACACATTGCTGACAAGATACGTGCCTGGCTCCAAATCTCTCACATTACCAAAACTATCCCGCAAGTTAATCAGAAACGAAGATTCGATTCCTGCTGTCCAGATCGTCACGAGTTTGGTCGTTAGAATCTGCTTGGCCGAAACATTGTTTGGTACTATCAAGAGTTCGAATGGAGATCCTTCGACATCAATTGGACTCATCTTGAAAAAATGTTTTGGAATCACTTGCCGCTCGATGTTTCCGAACGGTCCGTTTGTGCTCCAACTCAATGAAAGACTGCTTCTGCTGATTGAGTTCTTATATTCCAACCGAATTTCATGCATCAGCCACGAGGTCATGAATGACGTCCCTGAAACTTCAACATTCTCTAAGCACGAACACGAACCTGTCCAGCACGATATGTTTGGATTACAGGTTGTGGTAAAATTAGAACAATCACACGTGCAAATCTCCGTAAGCCCTTGGCGGGTCTGGCAGTTTCTGTTGAGAGGAGTGTGAATGATCGCAGCTGATAAGCTAGTCCATTGATTGATGACGATCTCTGAATCTATCCATAGCTTCACTCGTTCATCGGGATCAGACATTCGAACGTAGAAGCTGTACTCTTGTCCGATTGACGTATAGATGAAACCATCCCAACGTATGCTGAACGGCAGTTCACCCTTCTCCTGTCCTTCAGTGTAAGGCAAGATTGGAGCGACAAGACCCCAGTCAAAGTCAAGATTGTCGTCCACTTGCGAGACTAAGCTAGTTTGAAAATCACCAACAAAAAGTTCAGACATGATTCCGTCAGATTCGCACATCTTTACATCGATCACGTGCCTTCCACTATTGACTGGAAAGTAGATAATGTTGTAAGCTTGCGAGTTTTCCTGCGCATCGATTTGGAAATTACCTATCAGTTGGGTAGTCGCATTGATTGTCAATCCAGCATTGAAGCCATGCCAAGCATTCGAGAAAGCATCATTCAAAGTGATCATCAGGTAAGACTCCGCACCAGCAGTTACCAACGATTGGGGAGTGACGGATGAAAGGGCACTGGAAGGTTTGCTGGCTTGAAAGATCTCCACGGTGAAATTAGCGAATCGCAGGTATTGACCATCAATGAGGATTTCAACGTAGAAGACAGATTGTTGCAAGTAGGTTGGCGTGTAGGAGACTATCACCTCTGACCCATTCCAGCTCGTCTGCCCAACACTCGGGACAAGATTCATTAGCTGAGCGCGCAAAACTGGGGGATTGACTGATAGGAAATCGTTGCCATAAACATCTTTGAAAGCAAGAGTGAATTGACTTTGGATTCCCACAGTCGCCAAAGAAAGTCCAACACCTCGACCAAAGTAAACCGAAGAGGCATTGGCTGACAAGACACCGACCGATTGAATCTGATTGACGTTGCTCGCGTTCCCATTTTGCCAATTCAAAACATCACCTCTGTACAACCATTGAGAACTCAACTGCGTGGCATTGCATTCTACTGTCTGATTAGGACAAGATATCAACAAATTCAATCTCTTGTTGGTGTTCTCTTGTGAGGAATAAACCACAGCAATGGTAGAAATCGCTCTGTTCCCGAAGTCGTACGTCCCGCTGCTCTCCCTCCCCCCGTCTAGACTGCTCCAGTGATCCAAGATCAGCTCGTTGTCTACCCACACCTTCACCCGCTCGCTCCCGCTCCCTACCCGCCCGTAGAAAGTGTACACCTCCCCTCCCTCCGGCCGCATGAAGCCTCCCCACCGTATGCTGAAGCCCGCGTAGTTGGATATGCTCGAGCCGGGGGGAGGGGAGCCAGGGGCTGCGGAGAAGTCCATGTCGGGGACGGGAGCAGACTTGACAGCGAAGGCGGGGTCAAGGTCGGGAGAGTCGTAGTAGGTGGCATAAAGAGACTGTGAAGCGAGGAGTGAGACGTATAAAGAATGTACTGTGGCTCGCGTGACCAAAACTGAGTCGGAGTAATAACCTGCCAATTGGTAACCAACTTGCTGAGACGTGCTTTGACCAGGGATGAATATATTGGTTCGAACAAAGCTCGAGAAGTATTGCAAATCTGATAACATGATTGTCATGACGATGTACGACTGATCCCTAGTTATTAGATTTGCATAAGAATCCTTCAAAGAGATTGAGAATGATAAAGTGCTTCCTGCAAGTTGGGAAGACAAGAAGTTTGAGGTAACGATACTCTGCAAGATATCTTGCGTGCTTGAAGATACTAGAACCTCGAATGGACTGTTCGCTACTGACCCCACTGGGCACAGAATCTGAGCTTCGGACATACTCTGAAAGTCAAATCTATCGGCAATCTTCCATTCCAAATCGAGAGATGGTCGCAACAACCCATTGTATTCAATTTGTAGTTCGTGCCACGTATCTGGAGCGAGAGTTATGTTGCTGATGGAGATTCCTGTAGCCCACATGAGCTGGGAATCCACATAAAGGCTTGCTGTGATGGAATTCGCCAATTGGAAGTGGTAGTCCCTGCAAGAGCCGCATGGCACCCTAGACAGCAAGGCAAATGGTATTGTTTCCTGGGATGTTGAGATTGAGTTCCACTTGAAGTCGAAGAAACTTAGATTAGCATACAGGAATTCAAGCTGAATGTTATAGTAAACATCCGTTGACCTTCCGAAGTCGTACGTCCCGCTGCTCTCCCTCCCCCCGTCTAGACTGCTCCAGTGATCCAAGATCAGCTCGTTGTCTACCCACATCTTCACCCGCTCGCTCCCGCTCCCTACTCGCCCGTAGAAAGTGTACACCTCCCCTCGCTCTGCCTTGATGAAACCAGCCCACTTTGAAAAGATTGTTCCATTCAGGAGCATGCCGCTTGCATTGTTCTCTAAGTGATAAGAAGATTGCACGGAGACAACTTGAGGCAGAAACAAGGAACCGGAAGACTGATAGTAAGTTGCCCAGAGCCCTGAATCATCCGGCAAACTCTTAAAGTAGCCTGAATATTGAAACACCAGTGGTTGATTCACTGTAATTTGCGAGTCCTGAACAAGAAATCTCTGAGAGTAAAGAGTCAGAAAGGGAGAATTGCCAGCGACTGTGTTCGCTGTGAAGACATCGACCTTCAAACAACCATCCTTTGCACCTTCCAAATTCAACACCCGCAACCCGCTCTTCTCTGTTAAGGCTGCACCATAGATCTCTCCATCGTGTATATCAGAGGATAGCACCCTTGTATCTCCAAAGAACTTTGACATGATAGTCAGATTTCTGTCAGGAGACGGGTTTCCGTAAGCGTCGTTGATGAAAATCGAGAAAGTGGATTGAGCCCCAGCGGTAGCGAGGGTCAAGTACATCCCTTGAGCTAGACAAGCCCCAGTGCATGCTGCTGAAGGGTTGACAGTCAAGTTCTGTGGGAAACCCTGAAAGAGCCCCTGAGCAATGAACGCTGAAGACGGAACCAGGGAAAAGGCGGCTCCTCCTACCTGCCATTGAAGCTCCAGATCATAATTTGCCGCGCACCGAACGTTCGCTTCTACTCTGATGGGATAGAAGGATGAAGTCGTAGGAAACGTGTAAGGGAACCTCACTTCAAGACTTGCCAATGACGACCATGAGTCAACAAGCAATTGATCATCTATCCACAGGCGCATCCTCTCTTCAATGCTATTTGCTTTCAAGGAGAAGTTGTACGTCTGTCCTAATACGGGGACAATCGATCCTTGATATCTGAAGCTGAAGGATTGACCTCTGAGCAGATTGCTTCCTGTCGGAACTCCATTGCAACTACAAACAGATCTAGTGCAAAGGTTGACGTTGGGCACTCCTTCTACCAGTGATGCTTTTGGCGAAGTAAGGTTAAGACTCTGATAGTACGTCGCTGACAGACTTCCAGGATAGAGAAAGGACACATCGACATCGTAACGTCCTGCATGGGTCAACAGATATGAAATGCTGCAGTCTGCTGAGGTTGAAACAGACTGATTCTGATAGTCATACGCAGCTTGAGAGATCTGAAAATAACGCGAATATTCACACGTATCGATACTGTTTCCATACTGGTCTCTCGTCCTCACAGCAAACTGTGACAGCGTTCCAGCAGTTGTCAGCGACAATTCATTGCCGTATGCTTGAGACAATGTGGGACTGCTGATAGACGGGTTGACAGTAGTCTTGTATGGACTAGCATTGATGGGATAGGAGAAGAAGAGATTGTTGGAGGTGATCGAAACAAAACCTTCAGTCACCAGCGCATTCTTCCATCGCAATGATAGTCCGCTACTCAATGTTGAAGTGGAGTAGTCGGCTTCAAAGTAGAACAGACTGGTCGATTTGAACGTGTAGTTTGACTGCAAAGTTAAAGATTGCAAGCTGTCCCACTGGTCCACGAAGATGAAGTTATCAATCCAAATGCGTACACGATCATTGACTGACAACAACGTCAACTCAAAGGTCCGTGAAAGACTCGATGAAATCTGAAGGAATCCTGTCAAATGGGCATTCAAACTATTCCAATCGGAAGGGATTTCCAGGTTTGACACGTTGAAAGACAGAGAACTCAACGACTGTGTGATCGTTGCTACCGAATCAGCAGATGAAACAGCCGCCGTGATGCCTCCAACTTCTGTCAACGAACAGAATATGTTGTAAGAGCCTGCGATGTTGACATTTTGGATGATGAAAGCCCACAAACCAGCAGAGAAGTAGGACGCTGTGCTTCTGACAGCTTTTGCAGACTTTGTCTCGATTGCAAACTCAACGATAATCTGATTGGTAATGGCTGAATTAAGATCGTTGCCATAACTGTCTTTCGTCTGAACGTAAAGAATGGAAATCAGTCCTGCTGTTTGCACACCCAAGGCTTGCCCTGACACCGTAGACATAGATGCACAGACAGAAGACGGTAAAACTTGGACTGAAAACGGACTGTCTCCTATGGAGGCAAGAAAGACGAGTTGTTCTGGATCGACGACTTGTCTATCAAAGCCGCTACCACTCCAATCGAGCTCCAAATAGAAAACTCCAGTGACATAAAAGTATTCGATCACGACTTCATACAGATTGGAAGTAGCCAAGTAAAACTGCTGATTGATGACAAGAGGTGATGTGGGTAGAAAGCTGTCAAACAATGTCATACCATTGAAGTACAACCTTGTAGGTGAAGAACTGTTGACATAGATGGTATACATCCCTGACACCTTGGGCTTCAAGAACCCTCTCTTCCTTCCACCATAATATCCCGACAAGGCTGGAAGCTGTGAATCTTGGGTAGATGCTAAGATAGGAGTAGTGAAAAACCGATCGCTGTAATATGTGGAAGACAATCCACCGGAAAGCAACAGATAATATGATACTAGGAAGGATCCCTTCTGATTGATGGAGACTGAGAATGACTGTAATGAAGTGTTGTAGAGCATAGAAGAGGTATCGTATTCGCGGAGAACAATCGTTTCACCAGGTACATCGTTCTGGAACGAGTCCTGGACAACGATTGAAAGTTTTGATGGGGTCCCTGCTGTCATGAGCGTCAGGCCGGACCCGAGCAATTGACTCTTAGAGGCGCACACAGGAGCAGGCACTATCTCGACTGATGTTTCAGAGATTCCTACTGGAGCGCAAGCGTAAAAAACATTCCCACTCACTCGCCAAGACTGACTTGAACCAGTGGTGATAGACAATGACGAGATGTTGGTGCTGTTGCTATATTGTTGAAATTCTGATCTGATGCTCAAGTATTCGTTCGTCGTCCCTCCAAAGTCGTACGTCCCGCTGCTCTCCCTCCCCCCGTCTAGACTGCTCCAGTGATCCAAGATCAGCTCGTTGTCTACCCACACCTTCACCCGCTCGCTCCCGCTCCCTACCCGCCCGTAGAAAGTGTACACCTCCCTTCCCTCCGGCCGCATGAAGCCTCCCCACCGTATGCTGAAGCCCGCGTAGTTGGATATGCTCGAGCCGGGGGGAGGGGAGCCAGGGGCTGCGGAGAAGTCCATGTCGGGGACGGGAGCAGACTTGACAGCGAAGGCGGGGTCAAGGTCGGGAGAGTCGTAGTAGGTGGCAGATAAGATACCAGGAGTCAAAATACAGTTGACCACTCGTCCGTATCCAGCTTTAGTGGCATTATACACGATGACGGAGCTGCCGTTGACTTGGATAAGCGTTCCTCTCACATCCTTGACGCCAGCCACGGAATACACCAGAATCATATCGAAGATGACGTCATTGAGGTTTATAGGATTCATGTACGAGTCGTATGCTGCAATTGTGAATGGGCTTGACTGCCCTGCAGTTGCTATAGTAAGAGCGTTTCCAAATACCTGTGAGAACCTTGAATTGACTCCCGAAGGATGAACCGAACATCTGATGGGACTATCGATGGTTAATATGCCATTGAAGCTGATAAACATTTCATAGGTTCCAGAGGAAGTCAAGAGATATTTTACAGTAGTCGCAGGAGAATTCACCCCCGGGTCTTGAGCTGGGAAAGAAATTTGGTCGGTTGAAGAACCAACCTTTGAAGCGTTGAGCTGCATATTCGAATATGAGATGGAGACTTCGTTTCCGTGTTCGTCGAATGAAAACACAGTGAATTGAGATGAGATGCCTGCTGTGGCGATGGATAATCCGTCACCAACCGTACGAAAGGACGAGACTGAAGCGACGTTCGGAGAGATGTTTATCTGAAAAGGGCTGCCGTGGACGTGAAATCCTTCGTAGCGACAGAATACCGTAAATGTCCCCGCTATTGTAGATATTGTCGCTACATCCAAATGATCCCATGCTTGACTTTCAGAAGCCAAGATGTTGTATATCCTGTTGCTGACGGAATGCCTCGCTGTAATTTCAAAACTATCTAGAGATGCTTGTGTAGGATTTTGATATTTGTCTCGGACTTTGATGGTCATTTGTATTTGATCTCCGGCCTTGAAACTCATATCATCATTCAGCGAGAGAAGACAATTGTGGGCATGAGCCGAGCCCGGGATAATGATGAAGGTTGCTGAAGGCAAATTTCCAGATGGTGTGAATAATGTGAGAGGTTGGGAATAACTTAAAGCGAAAGACTTTGAAGAAAACGGATTGGATGCCTGATACTCTGACTTCATACTGAAGTATTCGTTCGTCGTCCCTCCAAAGTCGTACGTCCCGCTGCTCTCCCTCCCCCCGTCTAGACTGCTCCAGTGATCCAAGATCAGCTCGTTGTCTACCCACACCTTCACCCGCTCGCTCCCGCTCCCTACCCGCCCGTAGAAAGTGTACACCTCCCCTCCCTCCGGCCGCATGAAGCCTCCCCACCGTATGCTGAAGCCCGCGTAGTTGGATATGCTCGAGCCGGGGGGAGGGGAGCCAGGGGCTGCGGAGAAGTCCATGTCGGGGACGGGAGCAGACTTGACAGCGAAGGCGGGGTCAAGGTCGGGAGAGTCGTAGTAGGTGGCAGCAATGAGGTCAGAGGATAGAAAGAAATATTTGAGATCGTAGATTCCAGTTACATTGGGAGAGAGAAAATTGTATTGTAGTCCATCTGGCACAACTTCATGAGACATTGAAAGCGAGTAGACGGTAAAAGGAGTAGAAACCACGATCGTAAAGTTTTCTCCATCAACAGGGTTACCCCATGAGTCAAAGAATAATATTGTGGTGTTTACAGGAGAGGAGGGAAGGAGAAGCTTGGGAAACAGAGCAGCAGAGGACAGCAAAGGTGAAGGCCTTCCAGGAACAACCCATACAGGGCTGATGCGAAGGTCAATAACTGTTAGAATCAAGGAACCTGTCAGCAATTGAAGATTCATGCTTTCAGAGCTCCACAGAACTTCTAGTACTCGCCAATCGAACACGCTGACATTGAGACGGAAATCATTGATTTCGCTGTGATTGAGAAAAACAGATTGAGATCCCCCAACCTTGTACAGATCCTTGTTTATAGTCATGGCATATCCAGAGGTCATATCCAACCCGTCTGTCTTGATCTGAAATCGGTAATATCCTGAAACTATTGGCTGCAAATTAGCAGTCCAAGTCATCAGGTAAGGCAAAGTTTCAAGATCTTCCTTCAGGCATCTAGAAGACGGTAGGGAAAAGTTTCTGATTGGGTCGAGCAAGAGACCCGGAGATTCGGAGCTCGAATACAACGTTACTTTCATTCCAGGGACAGCTTTCCTGATTTCCAAGTCCATCGCGCCGGCTTTCTGCGGTGTTATTGACAACTCCATGTTCGAATTGGCCTCCATCGCGTAGTACAAGTCTTCTCCGGTGCTGGAGCCGCCTTTCAGTATAGCTGATACAACAGCACCTTCACGCATCAAGAATTCATCTTGGGAGCTGATGATGAGTGTAAACGGAGAACCTGCTGTCATCAAGATCCTTTCGGAGATGTTGTTCTCGGTGGAGCTGGCAAGAACTTTCCATTGCCAAGAGAGAATGAAAAGCACGAGAGCGATTCGCCGAGGAAGCGACATGGCGGGGGGCGAGCAGCTCAGGTGAGAGAGAGCGTCTCACCTCCCGCGCGGTCGGAGGCTGAGCACATGAGCGACAACCAGACGGATCGTGAGGATATCATGAGCGACAACGTCGAAAAAACAAATCAAACCGCTTAGTCAATTTGAAAAGTTTGAGAGCCGGACTCGGGACAGCCGGGCCGCCGCCCGGCCGGCGGCGGCCCCGGGCCGGACTTTGCGGACGGTCGGGCAGTGACGCACACTGAGCGACCGCACGCCGGCCCCTCGGACTCCGGAAGTCACACGGCTTTGGCATTGGACGGACCATCATCACGGTCACGTGTCAAGCCGCCGCGTCACGGACGGACTGTGAACTGAGGTTCACTGCCAAATTCCGAGCTCAGTTAGTCTGAGTTGTGCTGGAGCCCCCCCGGCCTCAAGTCGGATCTGGCCGCTCCCGGAGGCCCGGCGGCCGCGGGGCGCTCACGTGAGCCACTGACTCTCAGCACCCGGCATGTCAGTGTCCCCGGGCCCGGACCACACGTCCCCGGGCCCGGGCCACACTCCGGGACTCAGTGGGGAGTCTAAAAAATCAAAGTTAAGTTAAAAATCAGCACGAGGACAATCTTAACTTTGAGTAATAATCTGACAAGTAGAGGAGGCGTCACTTTCAAAGGGCCCCACCTGGAGTATCTCCGAAGTTCACTAACGCCTGCGCCATGGCTGGCCCCCAGATGCCAGGGGTGGGTCCTGAGTCCGCAACTGAAATGCAGCCCACCCGTACCCAAGCCTTGAAGGTGCAGTAGGATGATATGGTAGGGTTATATCATGTGAGGGGTGGCTGTGTTTGAAAAAGGAATGGTGCAGGGCAAGCATGGTGCGCGGGGAGAAAAGGAGAGCAGATGAGAGCTGTTTGGGAGATGATGCTGTCAAGCTTGTCTTCTTTCTGCTGTGTGGTAGATATCGTGTAACTTTTTCAGAGCGATGGGCACCTGCCCTGCAGCCTGCCCTGTCTGCTCTATACCTCACAGCTTCCTACCTCATTCCGCATTCTTTTGTTTGCTTTTCCCCTGCATTCACATTGTTCTACTCCTCCAACCCCTCCGCGTCTCTTCTATCTCTTTCAGTAGGAATGGTAAAACGGGGTCACGAGGGAGGAACATGAAAGGAAGCAGTCTAGAAGTTTCTCTGCTGATCCATACCGCAGGTCTCGGGATCTCGTCGACACGATGATCGGAGGATCCTGGCACTAGAGGAGGCTCGGAATGTTGAGATGCTTTGGGAGCCCGTCTCAAGTGAGACCGGAGAACGAGCAAACAGAGGAGGAGCTCGAGAAAGCAAAGAAAAAGATCTCGGAGCTGGAAGGGAAGCTGACGAGTTTGGCAAGAGAGAAAAAAGAGCTTCAGCTGGCGCTCCAGCAGGCGACTGTCAAGAACGCACCTGCCAGGCCAGAGAATGCTCGAGGATGGGAGAACGGAAACTATCAGACCTCGCACGACAGCAAGTTCGCAGTGAACAAGTTAGAAGTTGTGGGGGGCGATGGGAAGCCTCAGGCCATGTTAGGAAAGATCGAGGAGAGAGTGCAAGAAGGAACAAGTATATTGGGAGAGGAGCTGCTGAGGGACAAGACGAATGCCGAGCAGATATGTGATGCTTTGGCATGGCTCAGATTTTAGAGTATGATCTAAACAATGTTGTGGTATCGACTCGTCTCAGACACAGTTGCGACTTCCTTTGTCACCATGGATCCAAATCAAGCCTGTTCGAATTGGAATGTTCCATCAGCTCTGTGACTGTGTCAGCCTGTCACACGAGCACTGCTCTGAGAAGCTCCGGACACAGAACGGTTCGTTATGACTCCTGCCGAGTCAGTAAGGTGTGCACACCAACTGGACTTGGATTCAAGTGGAAGTCGAGCTCGAGCGCATCGGTAGTCAGTTGTGGACTAGTGTCTCTCAGAGAGCACCCGGGTGTGGCAGTTGAGATAGAGTAGTATCTCTCTAGGTGATCTCGCGAGGCTCCACTGACTGGCCATGGGTTCAGTGAGATGGGATGGTACATGTTCGGAGATGACGACCAGAGTTAGTTTTCCACTTGTTGGAAGTTGGCGACTGAGAAGTACTGATGAGGGGTTGTTGTCTAAGCCTTGTCATTCGGCCCCGCTGTACTTTCATTCCGACGCCTTGATCACACCCGCAATCATCCCAACATACTTTTGTAGTGTGACTTACCGTACTCAGTTTGATGACTCTAGTGCTTCTGCCCGGGCCCGGGGAACACTGGCGGCCTCGACGCGCGTACGGCACGGTAGTCATGCTGAGTGACTGTACTGTCTCGTGTTGATTAAGACCATTTGCTATTGCTATTGTCAACCACTGCATTCAAGTACCGGCGACCGTGACTCAGTGAGTAACGCCTTCCCGAAGTTCCGTGCACCAGTCCGTGCACCCGTGCACTGTCAAACGACTGGTCTGCCAGCAATCGCGGTTTCCAAGTTAAAATACAATTAGCTAAATCCTTTTAAACGTTCGTTGGAAAGTTTATGGTTCGCACAATGAGGGCGGGAGGTGACAGGGAGTGAGGGGATGAAGAGAGTCGATGACAGGCTTGTCACGCCTGAGAGGGAGTCAGCGGTAAGATGGGGCCTGATGCTCGGTACCTTGTGAGGAATCTGCTAATGAGTCCCTTACAAGTTGAGGCTACTTCATCCTTGACTGCGTCATTCTCGTTCTCGGCCCTTGAACAGTAAGTTACGGAAGTTTCTCGATAGCTAGTAGAAGCCACAGCGATGGAGAGTGACATTGTCGAGGAAGACGTAGATGACATATTCTTCCCCCCAGCGAAGCCGGTCAGAGCCGCTTCACGTCCAGCCCGCGCTGGTCGTCGAGCCATGTTAGCTTCTTCGGACGAACAGGATGATTCGGGTGCAGGAGATCAACCCACGACGTATGGGAGCAGCATAGCACAACGAAATGATACAAGAGTGCAATCAGAGGAAACGGCTGCAGACAAAGGAACAGGGTCTTCCGGTTACTCCGCCAGTCTTGGGAGTTATAATCCCTCGAATCGGAGACGGAGAAACTTCTTGTTGGGCGGCTTGATAAACAAGGACCCTGACAATGATGACGATGGCAAGGAGAATGTCGTTGACAACTCAGAAAGCAACGTTTCATCTGAGAGGCAAGAAAAACTACGACCGAGCTTCTCCTCATCGCCGCAACCTGGGCAGGACAACAATTACAGTCAAGACAGGACCAACCCAACCTCCTATCAACAGCAAGATTCTGCTCCATCACGATCGCCTGGGCCTGGTGCACAGGCTCCATCGTTCATGGGGAGAGATGCGAGCAATGCGGTTGTGCAACCTGCACAGTATAGTGGCTCTGTTGATCCGCCTCAGTCCTCCAAGCCGAACTTTCCTTTGATGCAGAATGCGAACGCAGCGGAGTCGAAGCAAGGATCGATGAGCAACGGGATGATGATGGGTGTTGGGCTCAACTCTATGGCTGCGCCTTCCTCCATGCCAGCGAAAGGAGGCTTCAAGTTCAAGTTCGGGGGGAAGGGAGTGGAGCTTCCGTCGGCAGGGGGGATGATGGCGATCCACGAGGAGAGAGGTCAAAACACTCAGGGAGAGGATCAAAGTCTACAAGGAAACCGACACATGTCCTCGTCTCCCTCAGCTGTTGGACCTTCTGTGCGATCCTCCCACCAGTCTCATCACAGTTTCGCCCCGTCCAGGTCGGAGGAGAGTTCGATCTCCCCAGAGACCTCCAAGCCGAAGCACAGGCGGGACGGAGATGTGAAATCGTTCAAGAGCGATCGGCTGAGACTGTTGGAGGAAGAGCTGAACGCGCTGGAAGTCACCCAGAAGCTTTCAAATGCTTACGTAGATGACAAGGTATGATTGGACGGATGAGCACTGTTCGAATGAAGTGACATGCTGGTCTTAGGGACAAGATCTGAAGACGAAGCAGAGGAAGATGAATGAACCAAGATCTGCTGAGATTGACGTCCAGGCAAAGGTGGACACAGGTCTTCGACATGGAAACGATTCAGAGAGCATCAAGGCGGAGTTGCTGAAAGCTTACAAGCAAGCCGAGGAATACAGGAGGCAGTGCGAGAGGTAGAATTTGCTCTTCCTCCCTTTCTACTTCTCCTTCTCTTTCGATCGGCCGAACGATGGGCTGATTGACTGCTTCTCTGAAGGTATAAAACACAGCTTGATCAATTCACAAACGCATATGATGAGATAGCAAGACTGAAGAATCTTGTTGCAGAGAAGGTGAACTATCCCATCTGTTCCTCTCCTGATCACCCCTACCGATACATCCCATGAACCTTTCCATGAACTTGCTCTGCTTCTTGTACCCTCCTTCCATCCTCTCCCTCTCCTCTTGCTTTCCTAGGCTTGCCCTCTTCTCTCTCGACTGACGTCTGTGCAGGTGAAAGTGATCTCGATCCTAGAAAAGGAAAGGAGCTCGTTGAACAAGGTACATCGCCAGTACCAGAAGGAGTACAAGGGGCAGGAGACACTGGAGGCAGAGCATGCGGAGAGGATGCGGAGGCTGAACGAGGAGCTGAGGGTCTCCAAGGCAAGAGTCGCCAAGTACAAAGAGATTCATGCTGAGCTCGAGTCGCAACTCACCAAGGCAGAAGACAAGGTGCCGACTACGACCTGCTGCTGCTGCTGCTGCTGCTGCTGCTGCTGCTGCTTGAGGAAGCTGCCTACATGAAGCAGACCTGCTCTTGCGCATAGTTCTGCTCGTGCTTTCTTGCTGCTCTCGTTCTCCTCTTGCCGCTGCTTTCCTTCTCCTCCCCTCGCCCCTCTGCATCTGCTTACGATCCATCAGAGTCGAGATCTGGATCAAAAGAATCGACAACTCCGGGAGAAGCTCCGGGCAGTGACGGGGTCAGACAAACTTTCCTTCGATCCTATCAAGGCTAGCGATGCTGGAGCAGGAGGTGGAGGGTGATGGCTGATGCAGGTCAAGGCGCAGCTGGAGGAGAAGGATGCGTTGATCAAGAAGCTGGAACATGACAACCTTGTGTTGAAGAGGGTGAGAGGACTTCGTTTCCTACTACCTTTCTGCTCCCTGCTCCCTATTCCCCCCTCCCTTCTCCCTCCTCCGCGATCCTTGCTTCCAATTCCATGCACATTCCTCCCTCGTTCTCAAATTCCCATTCCGAACTCTTCTTTTCTTCCCCCTTCAACTTGCCAGCTCTCTTACGTGGATGGTCAGGTTGCTGAAAGCTCTGAAAAGAAGCTCAAGGCAAAATCGAAGGAGCAGGCGGTGGGAAACCAGGACCTGCGGGAGCACTGCAAGTTCTTGGAGGAGGAGATCGAGAACAAGAACCGTGAGCTGCGCGAGAGTCAGGTGAGGCAGGTTGAGGAGTAGTGTTAGAGACACGCCGATCGTTGATGGTTGTTACCCTCGGCGGATATTCTTTTGACTTTTCCTCTCCAGGTCATCATCAAGAAGCAGCAGTCACAGCTGAAGAGGATGCGGTTGGACTTCAACAGCCTGCAGAAGTTGAATCAGGTCAACTGGTGTGAGCTGGGATGAAACTCTCCTTGACTTGTTTCCTCCCCTCAGGATCGAATCAAGCTCGATGCAATATTAGATGAGGTTGCCCCCACCACCTTTTACCTTACCCCTCCCTCCTCCCTATACCCGTCTCTCTCGTGCCCTCTCATTGCTCCGTCCTCTCCTCCTCGTCCTCCTCGTCCTCGTCCTCCTCCTCCTCGTCCTCCTCCTCGTCCTCGTCCTCGTCCTCCTCCTCCTCCTCCTCCTCCTCCTCCTCGCCTGAGCCAAGCGCTTTGTCCAGCCGATTGAAGATAATGAGAGCGGCAACACATTCCTCACTGGAATAGATCGATACGGCAGAAACTTACAATCGCACCCCCCGGACTCTGCGAACATGCAGATGGATGCAGAGTTCTGTAAGAACCTTGTTGCTGTCAGTGCTCTTCCTCTCCTACTTGCTGTCTCCTCGCTTTCTGTCTCCCTGCAGCCCCCGCGTCTCCTTCCTTGGCAGGCTCCTGCTCCTGTCTCCTCCTCTTTGCCCGTATCTTCCTCAGCCAACTCACCGCCTTCGCAGATCGACATTCTTCTGCCGGCTCCAAGAGCACGAGCGAGGCTGATTCGGACGCGAGATCTGACAGATCGAGGTGACTTCAACACTGAGGAAGAGAGGAGGAGGAGGAGATGAGATCATGGCCCCTCACAGGCAGCAGAGCCGCAAGAAGGTGATGGCCAAGAAGGGCAGGCCGGGAGAGAAGAAGAGGAGGAGCAAGGTTGTCAACGAGAACAACGAGATGGTCCGGCTGGACGATGGGTGGAAGGAGGAGAGAGGAGGGAACAAGGCGCAGAGAAAGCCGATCACGCCGGCAGACATGGCAGGCAAGCTGGACTGGTCAAAGTTTCTCAACGGCTGCTTGACTCGCTCGCAGGACTTTACAGCAAGAACAAGAAGATCCCAACTCTCAAGATCGACGATGACGTCTCAGACCGGTCTGCTCGGCCTCCTGGCTGTCATGCTGCTGTTTCATCCTCACCTGCAGCAGGAAGTCGATGACCTACGAGTCCTTACTGAGCCCGGATGCCAGGAAGGCGTTGGATGATGCCAGAAGTTGGCGGTCAAAACAGCACAGGTGACAATTGTTGATTTCTCCTCGGATAAAGTTAGATGCCTCCCGTACTCTGATCTGATGCTTTTCTTCTGTTTCGTCGTGTCCTCCCTCTTCTCTTGTTCACTGCTCTGATCCGAACTCACATGTTCCTCTGCAGTCTCGATGGGAACGAAGACAATCACGGTTGGCATCCCCGTCTGCTCCCCTTGGATGTGATCCTCGTTGCAGATGTGGGGTCAGAAGATGGTTCGGAGCCAGAGGACGATGATGAGCCGAAGGAATCCGCGAGGGTGAGAGGAGGAGAAGGAGGAGGAGGCTGATAGTTGATCGCTGACATGTGTAGCAGACCGAACAAGCTTACGAGGACGAAGACTTCGAGGAGATGAGTGTAGCTGACTCGCAAAGGAGTGCTCGTGTACATAACAATCAAGATGAGGTGAGTCGAGATGGAGGGATGACCAGTGACAAGTCCAGAGAGAATGTGCTGTTGTTGGTGGAGGTGTAAAGTGATGCGAGGAGCAAGTGAACTCTGTTGATTGGTCTAGATTCTGCCTTGTTGTCTAGTCTTGTTCTGTCATGTTTGCACTGTTCTCACCTGTATTTTGACAGGAGTCGGTAGAAGAGGATATGGACATGTTGTTGGCAGGGCTAACAGAAGGAAACTAATCATTATGTACATTATTCTTTGATACTTGAAATCAATAAATTCAACTCCTCTCCTCTCCTCTCCTCTCCTCTCCTCTCCTCTCCTCTCCTCTCCTCTCCTCTCCTCTCCTCTCCTCTCCTCTCCTCTCCTCTCCTCTCCTCTCCTCTCCTCTCCTCTCCTCATGTCTCCTCTCCTTCCCTCTCCATTCTCTCTGCTCCCCGTCCTTCCTTCTCATCTCGTTTCTCATCCTGATTCAACGCACCGTCGATCAGTTTCTGCAATCGCTGGATGCACGCAGCAACAATCTCAATGAGGCCCTGCACATAGTTGGAGGCGAATATCGCCCTGTTCGAGGGAAGAGAAAAGAAGAATCAGAAAACAGGAGGAGGAGGAGGGGAGGGGGAGGGACAGGAATTCAGGGTAAGGAGCAGGAGAAAGATGAGGAGGAGGCGGGAGCGGAGGATGAGCAGAGGAAGAGGTTGACGAACAACCTGCTCCCTGGGAGCTTGGAAAGATCCAACTTGTCCAACTTCTCAAGTTTCACTTCCTTGGAGGAACTCAGTTGCTCGTCAAGTCACAGTCTGAGGTATCAAACCTGCATCTCCTTCAGCTCTTCGAGCATCTCCGGGTAAATCCTGATGGGCTGACCCTTCTCGATCTCTGCAAGGTCTTCCTGCACATGCGGGGAGGAGCAGCGGGCAGCGATGGAAGAAGGATTCGAGAGGGGAGGGGAGAGGAGGGGAGGAGAGGAGAGGGAAGAGGAGGGGAGGGGAGAGGAGGAGGAGGACGAAGAGCAGAATGAATGAGACGTCAGGGAGACCGGATCACAAGTAAAGGGGGGAAGAAAAGAAGCAACCTCGTCTGACAGCAAGATGGCGATATTTGAGATGTTATCCTGAAACATGTGAGTCTTTCTCGGCACAAGGAAAGCTGAACAACCATCGAGATCCCGGTCGGGATATCCATCGAAATGTAGAAAGTTTCTGAGAGCAAGCAACATCGTCACTATCTGCCTCTTGAACTAGGAGATCTGACTTGTCAAGATGCGATTCTCCTCCGGAATGACGGTGAGGATGTGATCTTTCAGCAGGCTCATCTTCACTCTTCCATCAGAACGCTTTCGAACGCACTGACAGACGACAACCTTTCTCTTGAACATGTCAGGATCCGATTCCACACAAGAGAACCTCGAAGCTGCAGAGTGCTCTGATCAGAACAACCCAGCCATCGACGTCAAATGTTTCAACTCACCCAGCTTGTCTGCGGGGTTGTCTTCGAGTGCAAACCCGTATGCAAACATGAGCTCCTCATTCGACTTAGAGCTCCCGTAGTTGAAGAACAGCTGCTCCCCCTTCGCCATCTTCTTCTGTCCACGTCGTCACCTCCCCCCCTCCCTCCCCCCTCTCCCTCCCTCCCTCCCTCCCTCCCCCCCTCCCTCCCTCGCTCCTCCCCTCCCTCCCCTCCCTCCCTCCTCGCCTTCAGCTCACACTCGCTCTCAGAATGACGTGGGACTCGTCGCCTGATAGCTTGCAGGACGCAAGCGCGTCATGATTGATCAGATCCATCACGGGGAGGAAGCAAGGCAGAAGGTCCTCCTCCTCCCTCCCCAGCACGGCCCCAGCAGGCTTGACGAGGCCCTGGAGGAAGCATCGCTCGAGCACAACACTACGGCACCACATCATATCATCCCACGTCATCTCCTCTCCCAGCGAGAGCTCCTGGCACACCAACTTCATGTCTGACAGCTCTGACCGGGCTGACAGGGCGAGGTTGGTTCCTTCCAGCGCAGCTCGCTCCTCCTCTGGCCAGTTGAGGAAGTTCAGGCCCTTAGGAACCGTGAGCAGGTACTCATAGAGAGGATGCTGAGCGAGCCTCCTGGCCTTGAACAGCTCCCAGAGCAGGGGTAGGTGGAGCCTCTTGCTGACTTCCCCCATCCTCGCAGCATGCTCCTGAGGAACGGAGCGAAATCTCCGTTGCAGCTCCTCCTGCTGATGGCTTGGGAACGGCATGGTCTTGCACTTCTCCATCCTAGCCAGCTCCGCTCCCTCCTCCACATCTTCATCGCAGAACAGTCCCACCTCACACCCTCCTTCACAGTCGTACCCCTCCACATGTAACCGATCAAGGCAGGATACCTTCACTCTCACTCCTTCCACCATCTTGCGCATGCAGGAGTTCAGGAGCTCCACTCTCGTGCCCGCATGGCAGGGAACTTCCGCCATCGTCGCCAGCATGAGCAGCAGCAGTAGCGCCCCCGCGCTGACTGACATTGCGACCGGTGAAATCGGGAATCGGGAAAAATAGGAACTCGTTCAGGGAGGGTAAAATGGGGATTGGGAGGAGGCCGCTGGGAGGGAAGTGTTGAGGGAGAAGAGAGGAGGAGGAGGAGGAGCAGGCGAGGAGGAGGAGAAGGCGAGGAGGAAGAGGAGGAGGAGGAGGAGGAGGAGGAGGCGAGGAGGAGGAGGAGGAGGAGGAGGAAGACGAGGAAGGGGAA